CTCCTGGACTCAAGTGATCCGCCTACCTCCAGCCTCCCAAAGTGCTGGAGTCAAAACATTTCAAATCAAATCAAATCAATTTAGAAAAATGGAGTAAGATTTTGTGTTAGTCCTATTTTAAGTTTTAAAAGGTTTTAGTTCTGCTAATGTAATTGTGCTGAAATATGTGCAAAAAGAAATGACATCATTTTCAGCTATTTTATGTTTTTATTAATCTTTTTTCTTTTTCTTTTTTCTTTCTTTTCTTTCTTTCTTTCCTTCTTTCTTTCTTTCTTTTCTTTCTTTCTCTTTCTTTCTCTCTTTCTCTTTCTTTCTCTCTTTCCCTTCCTTCCTTCCATCCGTCCGTCCGTCCTTCCTTCCGTCCGTCCGTCCTTCCTTCCTTCCGCCATCTTTCTTTGCCAGGTATCACTGTGTTGCCCAGGCTGGAGTACAATGCTGTGATCACAGTTATATAGCAGCCTTGACCTCCCAGGTTCAAGCGTTCCTCCCACCTCGGCTTCCCTAGTAGTTGGGACCACAGGCATGTGCTACCTTGTGTGACTAATTAAAAAAAAATTTTTTTTTTTTTTAGGAACAGGGTCTCACTCTATTGCCCAGGCTGTTCTTGAACTCCTGGGCTCAAAGCTGTCCTCCTGACTCAGCCTTCCAACGTGCAGGGACTACAGGCATGAGCCACCATGCCCAGCCTCTGTTTCCCTTTTAAAATAATGTCCTAGTATATGAGAAGAACTCACTATATGACAAAAGAAGTCGTACAACGTTATATAAAAGCTGTATGTAGGCTGAGCGCAGTGGCTCACGCCTCCCTACAAATGATATATGTAAATGTTAAGTGATCTGTAAGTGCCGGGATTACATATGACTTTTATTTTCCTCTAAACTTTTCAGAATTTTCTAACTATTCTACAGTGAACATAATACTTTTATAACAAACTAACAAAAAATTTAAAGTGTAATTAAAATCAAATTACTTGTTCTCCAGAAAGTGGAAAGAAAATAAAGTATCAGCGTGAGAAAGAACAAGATTCTTTTAAAAAAAAAAAATTTTTTTTTGGAGACGGAGTCTGGCTCTGTCACCCGGGCTGAAATGCAGTGGTACGATCTCAGCTCACTGCAAGCTCTGCCTCCCAGGTTCACGCTATTCTCCTGCCTCAGCCTCCCGAGTAGCTGGGACTACAGGTGCCCCCCATCATGCCCAGCTAATTTTTTTTTTTTTTAATTTTTTGTATTTTTAGTAGAGACAGGGTTTCACCATGCTAGCCAGGAAGGTTTCAATCTCTTGACCTCATGATCCGCCCGCCTCGGCCTCCCAAAGTGCTGGGATCACTCCCAAAGGCGTGAGCCACCGTTCCCGACCAAAAAAACTTTTTTTTTTTAATAGAGATGGCATCTCATGGTGTTGCCCAGGCTGGTCTCAAACTTCTGGGTTCAGGTAGTCCTCCTGCCTTGGCCTCACAAGGGACTGGGATTGTAAGCATGAGCCACGGAAATCAAGATTCTTACTTAATAAAGGGACATTAAAGATGACTTATAATGTTATTTAAGGTGTAGTTCACAGGCCTCTGCTGGTCCATGAACTAGCTGTTCCTGGTTAGTGGTGAAATAAATACAAAAATTGAGTGTAAGCTTTTAGAAAGTTTTACAGCAGTTTGATAGCACTGCGATATCCAAGTGTGTGCTCATTTTTGTAGTAATTGATTTTTATTGTTATTGCAAAAGTATTGCTCCATGACCTGATTGTAATGTTGTAAAAAGCAACCTTATCAGCCTATCTATGTAAAAGTACATTGAGCTGGGCACAGTGGTGTGTACATGTAGTCCCAGCTGGAGTTTGGAGTGGGAGGATTAGTTGAGTTCAATAGTTTAAGTTCAGCCTGGGCAACATGGCGAGACCACTGTCTCTAAAAATAAATAAATAAAATAAAAATACATTAATTTGTGAAACTATGAAATCTGAGACCAGTGATTTAGTACTTAATAAATATAAAGCACTTACTAGCTGTCAGGCACTGTTTTAAATGCTTGATAGAATTTTTGATTTAAGGCCGGGCGTGGTGGCTCATGCCTGTAATCGCAACACTTTGGGAGGCCGAGGCAGGCGGATCACAAGGTCAGGAATTCGAGACCAGCCTGGCCGATATGGTGAAACCCCATCTGTACTAAAAATACAAAAATTAGATGGGTACGGTGGCGTGCGCCTGTAGTCCCAGCTGCTCGGGAGGCTGAGGCAGGAGAATCGCTTGAACCCGGGGGGCAGAGGTTGCAGAAGCTGAGGTCGTGCCACTGCACTCCAGCCTGAGTGATATGGTGAGACTTCGTCTCATAAAACAAACAAACAAACAAAATATATGTATATATTTAGTAGAGATAGGGTTTCACCGTGCTAGCCAGGATGGTCTGGATCTCTTGACCTCATGATCCTCTTGACTTAATGATCCTCATTATATATAAAAAATTTATATATACTTTTTTTTTTTTTAATGGCTTACACCTGTAATCCCAGAACTTTGGGAGGCCAAGGCAGGTGGATCACTTGCGGTCAGGAGTTCGAGACCAGCCTGGCCAACATGGTGAAACCCCGCCTCTAGTAAAAATAGAAAAATTAGCCAGGCGTGGTGGTGGGCGCCTGTAATCCCAGCTACTCGGGAGGCTGAGGCAGGAGAATTACTTGAACCCAGAAGGCAGAGGTTGCAGTGAGCCGAGATCGTGCCACTGTACTCCAGCCAGGGCACCAGAAGAAGACTCCGTCTCAAAAAAAAAAAAAAAAATTTTTTTTTTTTTTTACTTAATCTTCATAACAACCCTATGAAATAGGTACTGTTATTGTTCCTATTTCACAAGTAAGGAAACTGAGGCACAGAGAGGTGAAGTTATTCATATAAGGTTGCAAGTAGTAAAATTGGAATTCTAACCTAAGTGGTCTGGCTTCAGAGTCTATGCTCTCCAGTCACTCTGCAGTCATTTTTTTTTTTTAAACAGGCTAAAGCCTTAAAAATAATTTTTTTTTTTTTTTGAGACATAATTTCGTTCTTGGCATCCAGGCTGGAGTGCAATGGCGCGGTCTCAGCTCCCTGCAACCTCTGCGTCCCAGGTTCAAGCCGTTCTCCTGCCTCAGCCTCCTGAATAGCTGGGATTACAGGCATGCGCCACCATGCCTGACTAGTTTTGTATTTTATATTTTAATTTTTATTTATTTTTTTGAGACAGTCTCACTCTTTCACCTGCTGGAGTGCAATGGCACGATTTTGGCTCACTGCAACCTCCGCCTCCTGGGTTTAAGCAATTCTATTGCCTCAGCCTCCTGAATAGCTGGGATTATAGGTGCCTGCCACCACGCCCGGCTAATATTTGTATTTTTAGTAGAGACAGGGTTTCACCATGTTGACCAAGTTGGTCTTGAACACCTGACTTCAGTTGATCTGCCCACCTAGGCGCCCCAAAGTGCTGGGATTATAGGCGTGAGCCACCGCACCCAGCCTAGTTTTGTATTTTTAGTAGAGATGGAGTTTCACCATGTTAGCTAGGCTGCTGTTGAACTCCTGACCTCAGATGATCTGCCCGCCTTGGCCTCCCAAAGTGCTGTAACAGGCGTGAGCCACTGTCCCCGGCCTAAAAATAATTTTTAATGGATGGTTACCTACCATGTTCCTCAGTAGAGGTTGCTTTCGGCTTGTTGGGTTGGGCACTTCCGTTCGTAACATCCCCTCCTGCCTGCCCCACTCACTAAATGCTTTACCAGTCATTGTGATATATTTTAAAAATAGAAAAAACTCTCCACTCTTCATTATGAAATGTTCCCCTGGCTGAAAAATGTAGAGATGCAGGGAATACTCCATAGTTGTAAAATTTTTTGTCTATAGGAATCTGCCTTCTAGCTTCTGATTGGTCATAGATCTGTGCTTCAAAACAAAAAAGGTCATCTTTCAGACCAGACATCTATCTGTGTGTTGATCTGCATATAGAATTTCTGGAGCCTTTCTTTCCTGCTTGTTCTCCTGGGTCAGCATGTCCTTGTGCTTCATAAAATAAGAATATAGAGCCCAGTAAGGCCATTACATCATTTATTATGGAGTCTATATTTCAGTTACCTATGACTTACAGGTAGCAAATCATACTGTTAACCTTCTTTGCCTAAAATTCTGAGGTCTTTATCCTTTGAGTTACTATTGAGCCAATCCTCACTTATCCAGTTTTTGTATAACTTAAGTTTTGAATCTAAGTGTAGGAATTTATATGTATACCTTATTCCTTCTAAATTGAGTCTTTGTTTTGGCTTGTTATTAGTCCTGAAGAAGTGTTTTTTTTTTTTTCTTTTTTCTGTTTCTGTGGTGTTTTTTAAGCTTAGTTATGTCCGTAATACATCAATTCTCCTCCTCCTATTGTCTGTAAAATTGATGAACATAGCTTTTATATCTTTAGATAAGTTACTGATTTTAAAATCTTCAGCAGAACTCTAGGGTATGCCATTAGATATTTCTTCTCATTTTGACATAGATCCTTTAATCAGTTCATTGTTGACATTAGCTAATGTATCTACTTGATTCTACGGTGGTTACATCTGTATGCATGTATATGGTAGATTGTAATAAAGGATCTGGGATAATAAGTGGTAAGGAGAATCTGCTTTTAGATCATTGGATTTTCTGCTTGAAGGTTCATTCTTCCAATATGCTGGCTGCCACAGTAATCTTTGGAATAAAACCTTTTTCCCCCTTAGAATATTTAGAAATAACTAGAGATTTGTGACAGTTAGTAGGTATGCAAATAGATGAAGTTTTTATTAAAGTGTGATGTTTATCCTTAGGCAGTTCCTCTTGTGTATTGAATATCATTAGAGGAAAATGGATCATCATTGTGGACCTAGAGTCTTGGTAGAATTAATGGCAGTAATTTGGGATGGAACTTCATTTTCTTTTTTTCTTTTTCTTGTGGGAACTACCGTTTTATTCACTGGTGTTCATCCTATTAACTAAGGAAAAGTTTTATTTTTTTCCCCTCAGCTTGCTGAACTAAAGCAAGAATGTCTTGCTCGTGGTTTGGAGACCAAGGGAATAAAGCAAGATCTTATCCACAGACTCCAGGCATATCTTGAAGAACATGGTGAGTACTTTGTGGAGGCAGAGTGATGTGAGTGAGGGGATTTTCAGGCTTTGACACTGAAAATATTTCTTTTTTTTTTTTTAAGTCATTAGTGATGTAAGCTCTTAATTAACGGCATCAAGAAAACTCTTTTTTTTTTTGAGGTGGAGTCTCGCTCTGTTGCCCAGGCTGGAGTGTAGTGACGCAGTCTCAGCTCACTGCAACCTCCGTCTTCCGGGTTCAGCCAATTCTCCTGTCTCAGCCTCCCGAGCAGCTGGAACTACAGGTGCACGCCACCACGCCTGGCTGATTTTTGTATTTTTAGTAGAGACGGGGGTTCACCATATTGGTCGGACTGGTCTAGAACTCCTGACTTCAGGGGATCCACCGGCCTTGGCCTTCCAAAGTGCTGGGATTACAGGCGTGAGCCACCGTGCCTGGCCATCTTGTACAACCTTCATCTCAGGTTGTACAAGTCCCCTCTCTAATTTTTATTTACTTATTCCCTTTTATTTCCATTCCTCGTTTCACTTCCTCCCCAACCCATTTAGGCACCCATTCTAATGTGTTTGAATGTATTTTTTTGGTCTTTTTCATGATAAAATATATAGTGTTGTTTCATAGAATGTTTTCATTTATATAATTGGTAATTATATAACTGGCCATAGCCTTGCTTTATTTCTCATTTCATTCACTAAGTGTTGTGTTTTTTTTAAATGTGTCCGTGTGGAATGTGACTGTGTAGTTATCTAGTCTGTTGATTCTAATTCCTGCATAGCATTCCATGATGGATAACCACACATTTTACTTAATTCACTCGGTGACAGAAACATATTGCCACCAAGCCTCTGCTACTACAAGTGATACTACTTATAGTATACTATATGTATATAATAGTATATAGTATATATTATGCTATGGGTTGAATATTATATATTTGAAATACTTGAGACCAGAAATGTTTCAGTTTTTAGATTTTTTTTGAATTTTGGAATATTTGTGTATATATGTAATGAGGTATCTTGGGGGTGAGATGCAAGCCTAAACACAAAATTCATTTGTTTCTTATCCATATATTTGAAAGTAGTTTTACACAGTATTTAAAATAATTTTGTACATGAAACAAAGTTTTGACTGTGACCCATCGCATGAGGTTAGGTGTGGGGTTTTCCACTTGTGGGGTTGTATCAGCCTTCAGAAAGTTTTAGATTTAGAAGCATTTTAGGTTTTGAATTTTCAGATTGGCGATGCTTGACCTGTAGGATATAGTATACTATATTCTATATACTAATAATATATAGTATATTATTATGAACTACTTATTTCATGCTTTTAAGTTCCTGTGAAAGTTTTTTTGGGGTATATGCCCAAGAGTGGTATTTCTAATTAATATTCATACATATATACTTAATGTGACTAAGGACTCCCAAATTGTTTTCCAGAATTGCTCTATAGATCTACAGTCTCATTACTAGTACATAAGGGTTCTTGTATCTCCACAAACCTAAACTTGGCACTGTCCTATCAAGTGTCCTAAGTTTTGCTAATTTGTTGGCTGTTTTATGTTCTCCATGAAAAAAGTTTAAACATTTCACAATTCTTTTGTTTCTTCTTTGCCCATTTTTCTATTGAGGTTCCCATAATTTGCTTGTTGGTTTGCAGGCATTTCTTTTATATCCTAATAACTATTCTTTTGTTGGTTTTAGGCACAAATATCTTCTTTGGCTGTGCAGGGTGGTTCATGCCTGTAACTCAGCACTTTGGGAGGCTAAGGTGGTATGACCTCTTGAGGCCAGGAGTTTGAGACCAGTCTGGACAGCATAGTGAGATCCATCTCTAAGAAAAATAATAGAATTAGCTGGGTGTAGTGATGTGCACTTATAGTCCTACCTACTTGGGAGGCTAAGGCAGGAGAATCCCTTGAGCCCAGGACGTGGAGGCTGCAGGGAGCTGTGATTGTGCCACTGCACTTCAGTCTGGGCGATAGAGTAAGACTCTGTCTCAACAGAAACAAATATCTTGTCATTTGTCTTTTAACTTTCTTTGTGCTATCCTTAAGTAGAAGTACTTAGTTTTGAAAAATATTCAGTTTTTCACCTCTTACTTTTGCTTCTGAGTTGTTTTTCTTTTAAACAAATCTTTTCCCACCACTAAATCTCAAAGATACTTTTCCACATTACTTTTTTTGTTTGTTTATTTTTCAAGACTGGGTGTTGCTCTGTCACCCAGGCTGGAGTGCAGTGACATCATCTCAGCTCACTGCAACCTCTGCCTTCCAGGTTCAAGTAATGTTCTCACTTCAGCCTCCCTAGTAGCTAAGACTATAGGCACACACCCCCACACCCAGCTACTTTTTAAATATTTTTTGTAAAGACGGGGTTTCACTGTGTTCCCCAAGCTGGTCGCTTGAACTCCTGGGTTCAAGGATCCACCTGCCTCTGCCTCCCAGATTTGTGGGATTACAGAGAGCCACGGTGCCTGACCCCACATTACTTTTAAAATTAAAATTAATTCTCTAGTTTGACTTCACATTTAGTTCTTCAGTCCAACTGGAGTTCACATTTGTAATTAATGTTAGGTAGAGATCTGGTTTTGTCTTCTCCAGATGTAGCAGATTTTATGTGCATCAATTTCTGCCTTCACTATTGGATTTTTTGGGGGAAAGCAAAGTGATTATAATTTTAACCTTGGTAAGTGATCAAGATGGTTTTGTAGCAGGGCTTGACCTGAATATTTTAATATTCTTTAGCTGAAGAGGAGGCAAATGAAGAAGATGTACTGGGAGATGAAACAGAGGTGAGTTGGATAGAGTAAGGTTAGTCTCTGGTCTGGTAATATGACACTGCTTTGGCCACATTGCTTTAACATCAGTCATTGGAAGACTTAGATATAAATTTATTAGGGGAGCATAAGATGGGTATGAAGGTTCTGAGAGACTGGTTTATTTTGGAGTTCTGATGTTCTTCTATTTATAGATATTTATTGTTTAGATTTATGTTAACCACCTTGTTTCATTTGGTTTTAGGAAGAAGAAACAAAGCCCATTGAGCTGCCTGTCAAAGAGGAAGAACCCCCTGAAAAAACTGTTGATGTGTAATTATCTCTTTTTTATAATCTGAGTACAGAGCAGGCAGCTCTTTTTTTTATTGTGTTTAATGTTTAACTCTGTTTACCTCTTACATGTTCCCATTGGCCTTTTCATTTCTGATTAGGTCATTTTTTGTTTTTTTAGAAGGGACTACTTCAAAGTACTTGGTCCCAGTGAAACAAAGCAAATTGTCTCTGAGTTATGTAATAGGTAATTAGGACAAGGCGACTTCAAGCCCAGACATAGTTTAATTCTCCTAGCCTTTGTTGTTCTTTTGTAGGGTCACTATAATAGATTATTCTGTTACTCTATAGAGAATCTGTACAATTCTGTATACAGTGTAAAACTGTATAAACTCTGTTAACTCTTTTTTTTTTTTTTTTTTTGAGACAGGATCTCACTCTGTTGCCCAGACTGGAGTGCTGTGGCGTGATCTCGGCTCACTGTAACCTCTGCTTCCCAGGCTCAAGCAATTCTCCTGCCTCAGCCTCCCGAGTAGCTGGGATTATAGGCATGCGCCACTACTGCCCGACTAGTTTTTGTGTTTTTAGTAGAGACAGGGTTTTACCATGTTGGCCAGGCTGGTCTTGAACTCCTGACCTCAAATGATCCACCTACCTTGGCCTCCCTAAGTGCTGGGATTACAGGTGTGAGCCACCATGCCCAGCCCATTCTCTTAACTGTTTATAAGAGTTTTGCACTTTTCTGTAAAAGTGTAAAACTTAGGCCAGGCACAGTGGCGCATGCTTGTAATCCCAGCACTTTGGGAGGCCGAGGCATGTGGATCACGAGGTCAGGAGTTCAAGACCAGCCTGTCCAAGATGGTGAAACCCTGTCTGTACTAAAAACACAAAAATTAGCTGGGCATGGTGGTGGGCACCTGTAACCCCAGCTACTCAGGAAGCTGAGTCAGGAGAATTACTTGAACCTGGGAGGCAGAGATTGCAGTGAGCTGAGACTGTGCTACTGCACTCCAGTCTGGGAGCCAGAGCTGTCTCAAAAAAAAAAAGTGTGAAACTGTATATAAGGAGTTTTGTAAGGGAGGAAGGTGTTGGGTAGAGGTTATGTTTCTGAAGTAGCACTCTGTTCTCTCTTGCTTTCTGATCTACAGTGGAGGAGGGGAGGACAAAGTGCTAGAATGGAAAGTAGATCTTGATTTATTTAAACTGTTCCACAAGGGTGATGCTAAACATCTTTAATTTGGGACTTTTTCCACAAATATCTGGTCATTTTGTGTATTACAGCACATTAAGAACAGTTGAGTCGGGCTGGGCGCGGTGGCTCACACCTGTAATCTCAGCACTTTGGGAGGCCGAGGCGGGCGGATCACGAGGTCAGGAGATCAGGAGGGCGAACACGGTGAAACCCCATCTCTACTAAAAATAAAAAAAAAAAAAATTAGCTGGGCGTGGTGGCGGGCGCCTGTAGTCCCAGCTGCTCGGAGGCTGAGGCAGGAGAATGGCGTGAGCCCGGAAGGCGGAGGTTGCAGTGAGCCGAGATCGTGCCACTGTACTCCAGTCTGGGCAACAGAGCGAGGCTCCGTCTCAAAAAAAAAAAAAGAACAGTTAAGTCCTAAACTTTTAACGTTTTTGTTCCTCATAGCTATGTCAGTGCATTTAATTATAAAAGGCAATATATTTACAAGTAAAAAGTCAGTACATAGTGGAGTATATCAATTAAAAATTAAGTACTCTTTGTATCCATTCTCATCTGACTTTACTGAGGTTTTTAGAACAGTACATACTTTTGGAAGATTTTATATGGGTCTGCGTGTGTTTATGTGCATACGTATGTATGTGTATATATAGATACACCTGTACACACACTATGTACACTCTTGATTTTTTTCATATCTGGAAATTTTTTATATCATCATTTTCTTATGTAAGTGTTAGTTATACACTAGGCATTGTTCTTAAGAGTTATATGCTAGGCATTGTTCTAAATGTTTTACAAATACTTTCATTTTATCCTCAGTAGACCCTATGAAGCCAGGATAATTATCCTAGAAGTGGTCTCTTTTTTGTTTAGCTTGTCATTATGGGAAATTACAAGTATATACAAAAGTTCAACTAGTATAATAGACTCTCATCTACCTATCACCCACATTTACTAGTTATCAACTTAGAACCTTGTTTTTTCTAGCATTTAATAGTATTCCATTCTGTGGCTAAACAGTAATTTATTTCACCAGCGTTCTGTTGATGGACATTTAGATTATTCATAAAAGAAAAAAAAATGTAGTTCTGCATGTCCTTTTCTAATTATTTATACTCACAAGTATACCCGTAGGGTAAATTCCTAGCAGTGGATTTGCTGCATCACAGAGGATGTACATTTAACATCTTGATAGATTTTTGTCAAATACCCCTTTATATATTTTTGAGACAGGGACTCTTATCCAGGCTGGAGTGCAGTGGAACAATCTTGGCTCACTGCAACCTCCTTTTCCCAGCTCAAGCAGTCCTCCAGCTTCAGCCTCCCGAGTAGCTGGGACTATAGGCATGAGCCACTACGCCCGGCTCTTTTTTGTATTTTTTGTAGAGATAGGGTTTTGCCGTGTTTGCCAGGCTGGCTCGAACTCCTGAGCTCAAAGCAATCCACCTGCCTTGGCCTGCCAAACTGCTGGGATTATAGGTGTGAGCCACCATGCCCAGCCTATCAAATATTACTTTCTAAAGCCATTTAGTTATCTTTCCATCATAAGATGTTTATGATTAGATATAGTGCCTTGAAAAAATGACTTTGTGAGATAGTTTTAAAATAGAAATGTTACGGGAATTTCTGGAACAAGAAAGAAGATCAAGTGAATACCATCGTAATTGGCTTGTGTGGGTTAAAAAATAGAGGTTCAAAAGTTTGAAATTCATTATTCATAGAATATTTAAAATGTGCATTCTGTTCAGGGGGTTTTAATTCTATTAATGAATTTTGAAGCTAGGAAATTGAAGTGGGTGGGGTGATCATTTTGATTTTTAGAGGATAGTTGTGGTTAGACTGAAGTATGTACAAAAAGATTCTGGGTCTCTGTATTTCTGAGAATGTTGTTTATGTGATTGGGTAGGAGAGAAATTTCTCAGTGAAGAGTGGAAATTTTCCATGCATGTGATGTTTGTTTATTGCGCTTGAGTTTAGTTATACCTAAGGGAATTGGAATAGAATGGAAGGAAACTTCCCTTCTGGGGTTCCCTTTCTGCCATGAGGTGCACTGCATTGACTGTACTTCAGAGTGGGAATAGGAAGGAAGCCATTGCAGTTGGGTTAATGGAGAGTACTGCTTTCTTGATGGCATTGTATTTCAAGTAAAACATTAAACTTTGGCCTTCTGTGCCTAAATTATAAGACAAGGTTAGGGAAGGATGGCAAGGAAATCTGAATTGTTTAGAAATTTCTTTAAACATCAGAATAGTCAGGGCTAGTTTAGATTCTTTGACTATTTAAAAGGAGATCCCTTTCTTCATCTTTGGCCTGAGGTTCTCCAAAAATGTGTCTGTTTCTAGTTTGATTCCCCACCCCCAACCAGCTAAAGCAGTTACATATTGTAGGACTTTGTTATGGTCAGCAGGGGGCACCCATTGCTTGTCTGTCAGTCCAGGGATTTCCAATAAAAGGGTGGAAGAGAGTACTTGTTCCAGAATTGCTTCCTCTGAAAATGTCATTAAACCATTACTACCTTTCAGGGCATCAAATGGGAAAAGTGTCCGGGATATTGGAACAAAAGCTGCCCATGTCTCTAAATGAGGGACCTTAATGAGACTGGTTATGACCCACAGTTTTATGGGAGTTGTTTGGTGGAGGGTTAATGCCCTTCCATTTATCCTGGGTACTTCCGAACTTTGTCTCCCGCCCCTATGGTCCCCCCTCTTTTGTTTTCTCTTAAACCTTTGACCAGTAATATGCCATGTTTTCCTGATTCAAACTCCCCTTAGACTTTTTTCTTCCTACCTTCTTTGGCATTTTTATTTGTTCCACTTTGTTCCAACTAGAGCTACATTCCTCATGGGAGAAATAAGGGATTTTTAAAAGAAGGAAACCAGACCTTGTAGAGTACTTAATTGTTGTGATGAATATTGGGAGCCGGTGCTTAAAGGAGGATTGGAGGGTTACTCATTAGTTCAAAAGGAAATTAAAGGCTGGGCTTGGTGGCTGACGCCTGTAATCCCAGCACTCTGGGAGGCTGAGGCAGGTGGATCACTTGAGGCCAGTTCGTAACTAGCCTGGCCAACATGGTGAAACCCTATCTTTACTAAAAATACAAAAATTAGCTGGGCGTGGTGACAGGCGCCTGTAATTCCAGCTACTTGGGAGGTTGAGGCAGGAGAACCTCTTGAACCCAGGAGGTGGAGGTTGCGGTGAGCTGAGATTGCACCGTTGCACTCCAGCCTGGGTGACAAGAACAAAACTCCGTCTCAGAAAAAAAGAAAAGTAAATTAAAAAGTTCCTAAAAGCAAATGAGATGGTTTCTGGTGTCCTTTGAGTGTTTCCCTTCAGCCCAGTGTATTTAACCAGACTTCTTTCCTTATTTCTTTATTGTACTTTAGCTAAAGAAGATTAGTTTGTTATTTGAACTCTTTCTTCTCAATAGATGACAGTTAAAGGAACCAAAGCTCTAGTGAACTTCATATTTCTTTGGCATAAGGGGTGGCAGAGAGATAATAGGGCAGAGATAATTCAAGTGAATTCTTACACATTTCTGAGGTTGTGGTTTAGAATATCAGTTTTCTCATTTTAAAAGATCTCTTTCTTTTCTAGGGCAGCAGAGAAGAAAGTGGTGAAAATTACATCTGAAATACCACAGACTGAGGTAGGTATTCTGTTCCCTAGTAGAACAGTCTCTACATTTCTGTCTCCCTCTTACCCTTTATTATATCTGCATCATCCTCTAAAATTTATTCACAGGCAGAAAATCAGTATTGACAGATTTTGGTGTTGAAACGTTTCACTGCCAACTGCTCTTTGGAAAATATTTGGCTGGCATAGGGTAGTCTTTCTTGAAGCTGTAGTCTTTTTATATGTAACACTATTGTCTTAACAATGACTCTCTTTGAGATGTTTACAAACCTAGGATTAGAATTTGGGAGGATTGTACTTTGAAAATGTATTGGTAGATGTGACTCTTATGTTGCTACCGGCCAGTAGCTGAGATTGAAATTCCACTGGTTTCTGTGGGGTAGGACTGTGAAACCAGGTTCCAGTTGAGATCTTGTGTTCAGTGTCATACTTGCAAAGTAGAGAATTATTAAACTCTTTTAGAATGGCATAAAACAATGCTGCCTCATTTCTAACTGAAAGAATGCCATTAGTGTTGGAACCAAGCTATTCCTTTGATCACTTTTCAAAGGTCAGCCAAACATAGCTTTTGACTTCTTGGCTTCATGTATAATGTAGGTTTTACTTTATTTCTCCCTTTTGTTTTTGAGGATATGTAGTAATAGTCTTTTTGTGTTTGCTTTCTGGGAAGGGCTGTTAAGTCCTAGTATGGACACAACCTGCTATCTTCTAGGATTGTCAGTATTTTCAGTTTGGACCCTAAGAAATTACTTCTGATGTTTTTAAGATACCTTCTTTTGGCTGGGTGGGGTGGCTCACGCCTGTAATCCCAGCAGTTTGGGAGGCTGAGGTGGCCAGTTCACTTGAAGTCAGGAGTTCGAGATCAGCCTGGCCATCATGGTGAAATCTCATTTCTACTAAAAGCACAAAAATTAGCTGGGCACAGTGGCACAGTCCTCTAATCCCAGTTACTCGGGAGGCTGAGCCACGAGAATTGCTTGAACCCAGGAGGCTGAGGTTGCAGTGAGCTGAGATCATGCCACTGTACTCCAGCCTGGGGGACAGAGTGAGACTTTTAAAAAAAAATTTTTATTTTTATTATTTTTATTTTTTTAAAGATACTTACCTCTGACTAACTTTCTTAAACCATAAATTGACTTCTTTTTTCTTCCTTTTTTTTTTTTGTCTATTTTTACTTAGAGAATGCAGAAGAGGGCTGAACGATTCAATGTACCTGTGAGCTTGGAGAGTAAGAAAGCTGCTCGGGCAGCTAGGTGAGTGTCCCCAGCCTTTTGGGCCTGCGATAGTGATGTTGTAAAGGTGAAGATATGTAATCCTAGGTTTCTGATATAATTGTTGATTTAAGTAGAATAGAGGCTTGCTGAAGGATATGAACACTTTTTTGACCCTATTCAGAACGTATCTACTGGTTTGGTTATAGTAGCTATAAATTGGGCTTTATTGAGAAGGGTTTTTGTAACAGTTAAAGCCAGGAACTGACTACTACTACTAATTCTGATAAGGCTTCCTCTTAGCTTAATCTCTGGACTTGGTAAGAGGGAGAGTAAACTGAACCTCTTTCATGGGGTTGTTAGAATTAGCTAATGATTGCAAGACTTGAGATCACAAGCAAGAAGTGTCATATGTATAGTTGACACGGAGACAGACAACCAGGAGTGTGAACAGCTTCCTAAAATTTAGTTTGTTTTTCCTTCTTCAGGTTTGGAATTTCTTCAGTTCCAACAAAAGGTAAGAGTACAGAGATACTTCTGAGAAAGTTACCCTTTTATTCTTTCTTTTCTGGTATAACAGGTTTCATTTCTCCAAAATAAGGTAAATTTGCTAGCTGTAGAAACTCTTAAGAGATTATAGCATTCATCTCCTGCTTTAGATAAAATTATACTTAGGCCTTCCTGGGCAATTAAAAGAGATACTGAATGTTATGAGAGGATAGGAAGTGCCAACATTTGTCTGTCTTTCTTGAACATCTTCAAAGAAGTTTCTCTAGTACTTTGCTTACTTATTCTAGGGTCTCAACTGCATAAAATTATCGCATACTTTCCAGTGTTATACTGGCTATTATAAGTGATAAAAGGGAAAAGAATATCTTCTACCTTAACAGTTTTACTTCTAGGAACGTATAAGGAAATAGTCTTGAATGTGCATAAAGACTTAGCCTCAAGGATTATCACAGCGTTATTTATAGTGATCAATAACTGGAAACAACCAACTGTACAACAGAGAATTGGTTATTAAATGTGTGCCATGGTATAGAAGACTATACTGTGCTGAAATAATATTGAAAGATATTTATCAGCGATATTAATAAAAAGTTACAAATTTATATTAACAGTATGTTCCCATTTTAGTCATGTAAGAGTGCATGTATAGATAGGAAAAAAGGTTGGAAAGATATACAGTAGACACTTGAACAACACAGGTTTGAACTGCACAGGTCCACTTATACATGGATTTATTTTTTTTCCCCAATAAATACACTTTGTCCTCTGTATCTGAGGGTTCTTCATAACCAAATGTGGTTCAGAAATACAGTATTTTTGGGATGCGAAACCTGCAGATATGGAGGAGCAACTTATTATAATCTGCTGCAGAACTTGAGCATAGTGGATTTTGGTATCAGCTGCAGGGGTGGGGTTGGATCCAATCCCCTGAGGAAATGGAGGGATGACTGTATTCTAAGTTGTTAGTACTCATTATCTCTGGTTGGTGGAATTTTGAATGATTTATTTCTTTTTGCTTGTCTGTGTTTTTAAAATCCATACAATGAATATGTATCACTTTTATAATGAATTAGAGGAAATTATTACTATTTTTTGAGATACAGTCTTGCTCTGTCACCCAGGCTGGAGTGCAGGGACGCAGTCTGGCTCACTGCAGCCTCTGCCTCCCGGGTTCAAGCTATTTTCCAGCTTCAGCCTGCTTCAGCTGGGACTGCAGGTGCGTGACACCACACCCAGCTAATTTTTGCATTTTTATTAGAGACAGGTTTCACTGTGTTGGCCAGGCTGGTCTTGAACTCCTGACCTCAAGTGATCCACTCACCTCTGCCTCCCAAAATGGTGGGATTACAGGTGTGCCGAGCCTGAAATAGTTATTATTTTTAAGAAACTCTGGGTGTGGTGGCTCACACCTATAATCCCAACACTTTGGAATGCCAAGCTGGGAGGATTGCTTGAGCCCAGGAGTTGGAAACTAGCTTGGGAAACAAAGTGACACCTTGTTTCTACAAAACATTAAAAAATTAGCTAGACATGGTAGCAGGTGCCTGTAGTCCCAGCTACTTGGGACGCTGGGGTGGGAGGATCTCTTGAGCCTGGGAGGTCTTTGCTGTGCTTTTAAAAAGGTGGAAAAATTTCTGACCACTATCACTAAGTGTTATAGAAAAAAAAATTTTTTTCTGACTCTTAGTTATACCAAGAGAGATATAATATAATTGGTGAAGATACAACAAATTATAGAAGGTGGTGCTTTTTAATTTTTTTTAAGAGACAGGGTTTCACTATATTGCCCATGCTGGACTTGAGCTCCTGGGCTCAAGCAACCCTCCCTCAACCTCCTGAGTAACTGGGACTACAGGTGCGTGGCTAAAATACTATTTGAAGAAAGATAATAGTTAATAGTCTGAAAAGGGAACCTGATAAAAAATACAGTTTCAGTTTTACTCATAATTCTGACATCTTAGAATTATAGAGTAACTCGCCGGGCGCGGTGGCTCAAGCCTGTAATCCCAGCACTTTGGGAGGCCGAGACGGGCGGATCACGAGGTCAGGAGATCGAGACCATCCTGGCTAACACGGTGAAAGCCCGTCTCTACTAAAAATACAAAAAACTAGCCGGGCGAGGTGGCGGGCGCCTGTAGTCCCAGCTACTCGGGAGGCTGAGGCAGGAGAATGGCGTAAACCTGGGAGGCGGAGCTTGCAGTGAGCTGAGATCCGGCCACTGCACTCCAGCCTGGGCGACAGAGCTAGACTCCGTCTCAAAAAAAAAAACAAAAAAAAAAACTATAGAGTAACTCTAAAATAACGGAATTTGGGAACATTTAAAAGGAAGCATTGTTTTTTGAATGAAATCCTGAAAAGTTTGAAGTAAATAATTATTGGTTAGGTTCTTGGTGATAATTTCAGGACAGAAAATTGGCCTTAAGGAAGCATAATTTCTTTTTATTTTTTTTGAGATGGAGTCTTGCTCTGTTGCCCAGACTGGAGCGCAGTGGCACCATCTTAGCTCAGTACAGCCTCTGCCTCCTGGGTTCAAGCAATTCTCCTGTCTCAGCCTCCTGAGTAGCTGGGACTACAGGCGCATGCCACCACGCCCTGCTAATTTTTGTTTTTTTAGTAGAGACGGGATTTCACCATATTGGTCAGGCTGGTCTAGAACGCCTGACTTCAGGTGATCCACCTGCCTTGGCCTCCCAAAGTGCTGGGATTACAGGCGTGAGCCACTGCACCCGGCCCAGGAGCCAAAGTTTCAACTCGTGATAGTAGTTCTTATTTGTCCAGATGTGATCTCTTTTTTAAGAGCTTTAGAGAGATGCAATTTATATGATGTAACAATTCATCCATTTAAAGGTATATAATTCATTATTCCATAGTATATTCACAGGGTTGTGCAGCCATCATCACCGTGCTTATCACCCCAAAAAGAAACTGTGCCCATTAGCAGATATCCTCCATTACCTCTCCCTGCCCAGCCCTAAGCAGCCGCTTAGTTTTTTTCTCCATGGAAATTTGCCTTCATATGAATGAATTCATATAGTATATTGTCTTTAGTGACTGGATTCTTTCGCTTAGCATAGTTTTCAAGGTTCACTTATGTTGTAGCATGTATCTCTATTCATTTTTATTATTTAATAATATTCCATTGTATGGATATACTATACTTAATTTAGCCAGTCATCAAGCTGATGGGTGTTTTTCTTTAACTTTTTGTCTAATATGAATAATGCTGCTGTGAACATTTATGTACAAGTTTTTGTGTAATTATATGTTTTCGTTTTCTCTTGGCTGTATACTAGCAGTGGAATTGTGGGATCATGCATAACTGTATTTACCTTTTGAGGAACTGCCAAACTGTTTTCCAGAGCAACTGTACCGTTTTATGTTCCTGCTAGCAGTTAATGCAGACATGATTGCTAGATGGAATTTCTGCCTTTTCTTTGTCATCATAGGATAAAGGGGGTGTGTCCTGTATACAGTTTTTATGTTGCCTAATTTGACTTGAAGACTGTCGGCTTTTATGACTTTTAAAAATATTAAATAAAATTTTGTTTACTTCCTTAGGTCTGTCATCTGATAACAAACCTATGGTAAGAAATCTTTTTTTATTTCTTACACACCCAGATCTTAATTCTGTATAGCTAACTTTAGAGACTCCTCACCAGATTAGAAGAAACGCTGAGAACATTAATTTGTTGACTGTTTTCAGTATAATGTTATATGTCCTGAATTTAAAAAATTGTTGGAGATACTGAGAGGTCAGGAAAATTGTCACATGTTCAGTTACTGCAGACGTCTTTCTTCCTACCACTCTTTTCGAAAGTAAGAATAGATTTTGTTAACTAGAGAACAACCCGTGTATGTAACTCTTTGTTTTATGGTACTGAATCCTTGTCCAATGGCCTTAGATAATGTCTAATTCATAATTACCACAAGAGAATCTATAGAAGCAATTTAGGAGTTCTGTTTGTAGATAGTGCTTTTTTTTTTTTTTTTTAATTTTTTAAATACTATCCCTGAAATGTGAAATCATAGTAAAGAATGGTAGAATAAAATGGCTTTCTGGACCGTTGTTACTAGTCAGCATATTTTAAGAATGGTAACGAATACTGTGGTGAAATAGAATCAGCTTTATGAAATCCTGCTTTAGGGGTTGCTGCTTAATATTGTAAGTTAAGATTTAATATTATTAATGAAAATTTCCTATTCTTTTTTTTTTTTTTAAGATGGAGTTTCATTCTTGTTGCCCAGGCTGGAGTGCAATGGTGCAGTCTCAGCTTACTACAACCTCCGCCTCCTAGGTTCAAGGAGTTATTCTGCCTCAGCCTCCGAAGTAGCTGGGATTACAGGTGCCCCCGCACCATGCCTGGCTAATTTTTGTATTTTTAGTAGAGACGAGGTTTCACCATGTTGGCCAGGCTGGTCTCGAACTCCTGACCTCAGGTGATCTGCCCACCTCAGCCTCCCAAACTGCTGGGATTACAGGCATGAGCCACCGCACCGGCCCTAAATAATTCTTACAATAGTAACGAGTCCATGTACCAAGGTTTCCAAGAAAGAGGAGGGAAGAGAATCAAGTGGGTAGTGGTTATAGATTGTCTTCTGAAAAAGGTGCTTCTGTGATGGTTTCTCTTTGCCTGGAGATAGATTTAAGAAATACTTGCAGAGACGATATGAGAATTAATGATTTTGGATTGAGAATGGTAGACTTGTTTGGAGGTGATGATTTAGACATGTGTTTGCTTTCTCCAGCAGTGTTTGCTTTCCCTTGATCTTAGGCCCTCCTTAGGCTATTGACACCTGTGATAAATGCAGGAGGCAGGACTGAATGTTTCACTGCATTCCAGAGGAGGCCTTTTAATAATCAGTGGACTGGATGGTTGCTGCTTAGTTTTCTTATTTTTCTCATAGGGTATCTTTGATGTTATAGGCTTGTTTGAACTCTTAGCTTCAGACTATAGTTTCTGCATTTTTTGTTTTCTGTTTTGATTTTTTAAAACTGTGTTCTTTCCCCCATGTTTTTATAGGTTAACTTGGATAAGCTGAAGGAAAGAGCTCAAAGATTTGGTTTGAATGTCTCTTCAATCTCCAGAAAGGTAATGTAGGTTCGATGGAAGTAATATTTTCGTGACATTAGAGCAGCTTATGGGAACTACATAGTCTGGAAATGACCCTCCTGAGAATGTAACTGGCTACAAAGCATTTCATTTCACATACTCGTTTGACTGTCACCTCCTCTCGCTGGCTCTTGATTATATTATAGGAATTATTTCACAAGCCGATTGCTTTTTCCCGTGGATTGTTTTCATAGCTTTCACCCAGGCTGCTAGAGCATGGTCTATATTTCTTTTCTTTCTTTTTTTTTTTCCCTTTGAGACAGGGTCATTCTGTTGCCAGACTGGAGTGCAGTGGTGTGATCATGGCTCACTGCAGGCTTGACCTCCTTGGGCTCAGGTGATCCTCCCATGTCAGCCTCTCACGTAGCTAAAACTGCGGCGCGTGCCACCATGCCCAGCTAATTTTTTTCTATTTTTGGTAGAGACGAGATTTTGCTATGTTACACAAGCTGGTCTTGAACTTCTGGGCCTAAGGGATCCACCCACTTCTGCCTCCCAGAGTGCTGGGATTACAGGCGTGAACCATTGCACCCAGCCTGAGTATGGTTTATATTTCTGTTGGTTAAGATGTTGAATTCAGTGAAGTTAAAACTTATTACAACTACTTTAACTTTGATAATAGGCGTAATGGGAATTAAATAATCAGGAGAAGATAGTCTTGTTTTTAGGTCAGAAGTACTTAGAAATAAAACTTGGAGGATTGGTGGAACAAAAATAAAAAAGTTAACTCATTCTTTATGCCCCTGTGCTAACTGATGTTATTTACTTTATTAAGCAAGATGACTTTGTTTACTTCATGCTGTGTGGGATGATTGGTTCCCCAGGGCATAGTTGCCTTTGTAGTTTTGCTAGGCACATTGGATAAAATGATAAGGATTTTTCTATTTGCCTAGAGCAGGTGATCTCTTAATCTTTGTTGTTTAGAACAGGAACATGTTTCTTGGTTGTCAAAGTGGTGGCAGGGTATTTGAAACCAGAAAAACCATCATTTAAGAAAAAAATCGGCCGGGCATGGTGGCTCACGCCTGTAATCCTAGCACTTTGGGAAGCCGAGGCGGGCGGATCACCTGAGGTCAGGAGTTCGAGACCAGGCCGGCCAACATGGTGAAACCCTGTCTCTACTAAAACTACAAAAATTAGCCGGGCGTGGTGGCACATGCCTTAATCCCAGCTACTTGGGAGACTGAGGCAGGAGAATCACTTGAACCCGGGAGGCGGAGGTTGTAGTGAGCCGAGATCATGCTTCTGTACTCCAGCCTGGGCAACAAAGTGAGACTCCGTCTCAAAAAAAAGAAAAAAATCATTATTTCCAACTCAGCATAAAAGTATTTAGCTCTCTAGAAAGCCATTGGAAGAAACTTATCTGACATTGGTTATATGTTTTGCTTAGTAAAAAAACTAAACACTAAAAGTAATCATTATTGTGCCACTATGGAACACTTGTGCACAACTTTGTTCCATCTTCCATTTAGGTTAACTTTTTTTTTTTTCCCCAATCTTTTTTGAGACAGATTCTCCCTCTGTCACCCAGGCTGCAGTGCAGTAGCATGATCACAGCTCATTGCAGCCTCCATTTCCCAGGCTCAAGCAAGCCTCCCACCTCAGCCTCCTGAGTAGGTGGGACCACAGACGTGTGCCACCATGCCTGGCTAGTTTTTTGAATTTTTTTTTAAGAGACGAGGTCTCCCTGTGTTGCCTAGCTGGTCTCGAACTTCTGGCCTCAAGCCATCCTCCTGCCTTGGCCTCCCAAAATGCGGGACTATAGGTGTAAGCCACTGCACCTGGCCTGGGTTATCATTTTTTATATTAACCAGAAATATAGCATCAGGTCCGTGTGCCTAGCATGATGCTGAGACCATCTATGCTCAGTGGGAATACTTGCTCATTTATGTGAAGTAAGAAAAAATTTGGAGTTGAGAGGCAGAGTATGTGATTCTTAAGCCACATGCACCTTAATTGGGAAGGGCTGTTATAAACCAAAGGTCACTTGTGTTGTGCCAGATGGCCAAGGGGAAGGATGCCTTGGATCTGTGGCCCTAGTTCTCGTCTGTCTTCTCCTCTTTTATATGAGGGCTAGATGTCTGAGAACCCCAGCAGTAAAAATTCACTCCATCTTCTAAGGAATTGTCTGTGTTCTTTCAGAATCTACAAAATTGAACATCATCTCTCTTATTACATAGCTCATAGCTCCTACTACACATTGCTGAGAAGAATTTGTCCATCAATGCTATATTATATACCTGTGTTATTTTTATAGTATTTCATTACAGGAATAGCAGGTCTTTCTCTTCCCTTCCCTAGACTTTTTCTCTTTCTTTGACCTTTTTTCATTTTTAATCCACAGGAGGCTGAGTAAAACAGATACATATATTAACTTTGTGACTTTGAGCAAATTACTGAACTTCTTTGATCCTCATCTGTAAGACTTAGAGCAATACCTAGCAACCTGATTGGGAAGAGTAAATAATTGGATACAGGGCCAGGTGCAATGTCTTATGCCTGAAATCCCATGATTTTGGGAGGCTGAGGTAGGAGGATTAATTGAGCCCAGGAGTTTGAGGCTGCAGTGAGCCATGATAGTGACACTGCACTCCAGCCTGGGTCTCTTTTTTTTCTTTTTTCCTGAGACAGGGTCTTGTTCTGTCACCCAGGCAGTGCAGTGGTGCAGTGGTGCGATCTCAGCTCACTACAACCTCTGCCTCCTGGGTTCAAGTGATTTTTCCCACCTCAACCTCCTGAGTAGCTGAGAATATGGGAGTGCGCCACCACACCCAGCTAATTTTGCATTTTTAGTAAAGATGGAGTTTCTCCATATTGTCCAAGCTGGTCTCAAACTTTTGGTCTCAAGTGATCCACCCACCTTGGCCTCCCAAAGTGCTGGGATTACAGGCGTGAGCCACCGCACATGGCCTAGACTCTGTCTTTAAAAATAAAAATTGTATACAGTATTCGAAATTACCTAACAGTGCTACTTTGACCCTCAATAAATGTTGGTTTTCTTCCTTTTTTTTAGTTCAGTTCTGTTGGTAAATTGCCTTTATGGCCTTAAAATTGAGTCAATTAACTTGACTCAATTTTAGTTTTTGTTGATCATTGATAAGATTTCAGCACCCATTTTAAGTCTCTGGAGGGTTGTAATACAATAATGGTAATTGGCAAAACTCTGGCTCTGAGCTTCCTTCTCTAATAACATTGATTGCCAATATGTGTAGCATATTTTTTTATTTGCATATGTGCTAGAGTAGTGCTTCTGAAATTATCTGTGGCAAAAAACTAGTTTAAAAATTTTTTTGATTATTGCAGAGTGATAACTTTTATAAAATGCAATTAAAATGTTACAACAGTATTAAATTATTCTGAAAGTTTCTTAACATTTTCAATTTCTGGACCTTTACACACTGGTAAGAAACAGTTTGGAGACTAGCACCAGGAGGCAGACTATATTTTAAGTAGCACTTCAGTAGCATATGTATGGTTTCTAGGGACTACTTTACTTGGAGATTTGTGACCTTTTGAGATGTCCTCTTTGAGTATAGGCCCCATTTACCTTGGTTATAAGTCTTGATTTTCAGAACCATCCTAACTTGAACAGTTTGGTCTGTTTTGTCCCGTAAAGCATCACAGTGTCCCAGAAATGCTGATGTTTTGCTGTCTACACCAGCACTGTCCAATAAAACTTATTTTACAAAGCCTTTTGTGGCTAGTGGCTACTGTATTGGACAACTCATATCTAGCTTATATCTCCCACACAGCTTTCATACTTGGAAGTGGCATAGAAATTACTTGTCAGACCACATACTTGCACCAGTGTTAATCTGTAGCTGAGAATTTTTTTTAATAATTGTAGAAAATATAAACAGTTTCAGAGTAAATCTATGAAAGGAGAGAATTTGGAGGAAAAGGAGTAAGACATAAGAAAAGTAAGGATTCTTTTTTTCTAGAACTTAGTGTTCTAGTGAACAGTTCCACATCCTGGAATTGCAGCTGGGTACATTGTCTGGTGAGAATTGGCTAGTTCTTGTGCTTAACTATTTATCACCAGAATGAGTTGTTACCTAGTGTTTGGTTGGTTGGCAGAGGTTAGTGACTTAGTTAAGTTTGTGTTTATGGAACTGCCAGATGAGCATACTTTTGTCCACTTCATCCTGGGATTCTGGGTTCCAGTGTAACCTTCTATATAATTTGGTCACTTGTCTTTTAAGTTGTGTAATTCTCTAGGCACGGATTTTATTCAGTTAGATGTGGTACACATAGTGGCAGTGGTAATGTAGCCTCTTCTCTTAGTATTCTAAGCAAGACAATGAAAAACCCACTTTTTGTCATCTCTGTTGCGTGGGGTTTGTCTGCTTGATCCAACCTATGTCCCTGCTTGCTTGCTGATTTCTCTTTAGTGGACTTGGCTACTGATCAGTGTAGTATATGAATAAAGAGGAAGTATGTGAGAGCAAATGAGCTATGGATTGAATAATGTTTATGATCGATTTCTTTTTTTCTTTTTTTTTAGAGATAGGGTCTCATATGTTGCCCAGGCTGGTCTTCAATTCCTGGGCTCAGCTGATCCTTCTGCCTCAGCCTCCCAAAGTGCTGGGATTACAGGTGTTAGCCACTGTGCCCAGCCTATATTTTTATTTATTTATTTTTTTATTGTCACCATCTGCTCATCTCCTCTTCATATTTTAGATTTATGGCTTGAACATATTACAGATTTAAGGAACCTGAGTCTCTGCTATTTTTCCTAGGCTGACTTTTGCATGACTATTTATATATTTCAGTTTTTAGCTCCACTAGTGTACTATACACATCTCAGGCACTACACAGAAATGTAAAGAAATCTCTCTCCCACCTCCCCCCAGCCTCCCCTAAATCATCATCTCCTTTTCCCTCTGCCCAAGAAAAGTCTGTTTGTTCATGTTTCCAGCTTAAGTCTCAGTGAATAGAATCTCACTGGTTTAGACTAATGGAAAGTGACAAGGCGAAGA